ATAGTAGAACGTGCCCATCCCTCCCTTAAAAATATGCTCAGAAAACAAAAAAGGGGGAGTATGAGCAAGGACCCTGCAACACTACTAGCACAAGCCTTATTTACCCTTAATTTTTAAAATTTAGATGACAAATTTCAATCAGCTGTAGAAAAGCACTTTGCTAAAACCTCTCAGGACATAAAACCTGCAGTTTTATGGAAAGGTGTAAATAGTAATGAATGGTGTGTTCCAAATGAGTTGCTAACGTGGAGAAGAGGATATGCCTGTGTTTACACCCCATGCGGTCCTCTTTGGATTCCAGCACAATGCATCACACCATACCATGGCATGGCTAGGACCCAACCCATACCACAGATGAAGGAATTGACCCTATAGGACCCACAACCCCAGAGGATACAGTTTCCTCGGACAACACATGCCCTGGACGTTACATGGGGAATGCGGAAGAAGACAACTCAAGAGGATGAGCAAATCCTGCTTCGGACACAGACACCATTCACTCCAGACAATTTGTTCCTTGCTATGTTCTCTGTTGCACATTGCAGCTCACGTAGTGCTCTTGCTTTGTCTGCAACCTGGTACCTGCTACACTCTAGTGGGCTCACATTTTAGACATGCCTTTCTTTTGCCCTGTTACCTAGGCAGACAACCCTTCCCAGCCTATAATGACTGCTTGGCTAGGAGGGAGAGATTTACCCATAGTGGGGTCCCTCAATAATGGCACACATTGGACTAAGGTGCCAAGTAACACTACATATCACTCCACTATCCTCCCACTGTGTGTAAGTTACAAAAGTTCCAACCTTTACTGTGTACCTACCCAAACACAATTATGGCTATATCATGAAAAAGGAATGTCTTGGGCTGGGCGCAGTGGCTCAAGCCTGTAATCCCAGCACTTTGGGAGGCCAAGACAGTTGGATCACGAGGTCAAGAGATAGAGACCATCCTGGTCAACATGGTGAAACCCCGTCTCTACTAAAAATACAAAAAACTAGCTGGGCGTGGTGGCGCATGCCTGTAATCCCAGCTACTCAGGAGGCTGAGGCAGGAGAATTGCCTGAACCCAGGAGGCGGAGGTTGCGGTGAGCTGAGATCGTGCCATTGCACTCCAGCCTGGGTAACAAGAGTGAAACTCCGTCACAAAAAAAAAAGAAAAAGGAATGTCTTAACAACCTTAGCTGCAGGTAGCCTCAAACCATGTAATGCAATCAATGCTGCTTTCCCTAACACTCCTTCCTGTGCTAAAGGACAAAGCCAGGAATGTAATTTCACTTTAGCTGGGAGGTCTGTCATGGGGAACAGGCCTATAGCCTCCAGTTAGGCAATTATGACATCTTAAACTGTAGCCCCCACAGTCATTCGCAGGGCAGCTTTACTAATACCCTCATCTATCATGGCATCAATCACAGTTTCATAGCCACATTCCATTCCTCTATGATTTGGGCCAATGTGGAGGATGAGATATCCCAGACCCCAATTAAAGTCCATGCCACCCTGACACTCTATAGTGCCTGGGACATCTCAGCACCTCCCTTGACAGCTGGCACGGGACACTGCATAATTTTGGTCATAATTATACTATAACCTTTATTCATAATCACACTGATCAATGCCTGATTTGCACTACCCATCCGTATGTTTTCCTTATGGGAACCAATATTTCTATTACACTCCAAAGCTCCACGTTTATGACCCAGGTAGAGGAACAGGCTTGGTTCACCTCATGTATCACTAATTACAATATATCTAATTTACATATTACTAGTGTCATTGTATTAAGAAGACAACCTGAGGCATTCCTACCAGTCAATTTGACATATGATTGGCAGGGTTCCTCTGCCCTTGCCACATTAGAATGTGCCCTGTCCCAGGTCAGACACAAAATATTCATAGTTAAACTTAAATAGCTTTTATAGTCTCAGCCACAGTCATCCTGGCAACAGCTAGCATTGCTGTGGCATCCATTGCTGAATCAGTACAAATAGCTGCCTTTGTAGATAATTTGGCCAGAAATGTGTTTAATGAACTTCTCTTGCAGCAAAGAATAGATCAAAAGATTCTTTTATGTCTGTAAGCCCCCAAGATTGCCTTGGAATATGTGGGAGAGTGACAGGCTGTGCTGGCATTCTGACATCAGTTAAACTGTGACTGGGTGCATAAAAACATATCTATGTCACTTCTCTACCATGGAATCAATCAATACATAGTTGGGGTGAGGTGAAACAACATCTCTGGGGAATCTTTCATGACAATTTAACAGCAGACGTAAAGCAACTTAAAACTAAAATTTTAGAATCCCTTTACACCACAGATCTACACACCCAACAAACAGCCATATGGAAGGGTGTACAAGATCATCTCTCCTGGTTAGAACCCCATTCCTGGGGGTCACTCTTTGACTGGAAAAGAATGTTGCTAATTATACTCATGATTGTTTTATGTTATTTACTACTTCTAGGATGCAAAGCTGGAATAAGAGCAATGACCGCCTTGCCTGACAAAACTGCTGTTGCATACATTTTTAATCTTCAATCAACAACACCTAACACAAAAAACAGAAAAGAGGGAAATGTGGGAGATCAGTCAGGATGGTTGGAAAGATTGCAAAATTACAGAATATAGTCACAAACCTTCTTGGAAGGCTGACGGATTTGCATAGTTTCCGTAGAAGTTTTGTTTGAAGGCAGCCTAATCCCATTTATCTTTAGCTGATAAAAGCAAATAACTAGGGAATGTGGGGGAGTTTACCTGAAGAACTTATTTACTCTTGTGGTCCTAAAACTAAACTTTAATCTTTCATGGGCCAGATAGCTCTCTTGGGGGAGGTAACCAGATATATCACCCACGAATGATGTTTGCTTTAAGCCTGGGAATCTGGCCTTTAATATTATTCATAAGTATGTTGACTCAGAGCCTCTGTTATTAAATCTATACTAAATAAATGCCTAGAGCACCAGCTGGTCGGGACTGTGGCTGCTATCTCTCTCAGAAGTGTCTGTGAGTGGCCACAGACCTCCAGCCCACTCTTCCTCTGGAGATTTGTGTTTCAGTGAATTTGTTCATCCATTGCAGGGTCAGAATCTGCAGTCAGACCCTGACAGATCCAGCTAATTCTTTTGTATTTTTTGTAGAAATGGGGTTTCACCACATTGCTTATGTTGGTCTTGAACTCCTGAGCTCAAGCAATCCATCCACATCAGCCTCCCAAAGTGCAAGCATTACAGGTGTGAGTCACCATGCCCAGCCTGGGAAACAAATTTGGAAGTGATCAGTTTTAGTCTAATTCTAGGCACGAATGAATATAGAAACACATACTCTAAAGCAGGTGTCCTCAAACTACGGCCCACGGGCTGCATGCGGCCCCCTGAGGCCATTTATCCAGCCCCCCACCACACTTCAGGAAGGTGCACCTCTTTCATTGGCGGTCAGTGAGAGGAGCACAGTATGTGGCAGCCCTCCAACAGTCTGAGGGACAGTGAACTGGCCCCCTGTGTAAAAAGTTTGGGGACGCCTGCTCTACAGGGACAGAAAAGCATCCCAATGTCCTAAAATAGAAGACCAAATAATTGAAAGGAAACAGATTTTTCTTCCCTCATCTCAAGAGTAAGTTATTATTCCTATGTTTTAGCACCTCTTTATATATTCTTCCTTATATTTTTAAATGGAAGCCCCTTTCAAAAGCTCAAGTTTAATCATGTTTACTATTCTACATCTCATTCTCAACATAATCAGGATACTTGTGAACTGTTTCTAGGTTTCACATTCTTTCCTGAAAAGCCTTAATAAGTATACTGAGCATGTATATACAACACCCTTTATATACAACACCTTTAAATCAACATGACTATATTAAAACTTTATCCAAAGGTACCAACTCCTGAATTAAACTAATCAATCATAACTTAAATTGGGATATGTACATAATTATAAAAGCATACAAAGACCCATGAGTTAAATAATGTTATTTGCCTTTACCTCCATGCACGTAAGAAAGAGAAGTAGTAGTGTAAGTACATGAAATCTGTGTTTATACCTAGGAATCAATAGATTTGCAAAATCAATAAATCCAGAACTGAAAGTATAATCACATTCCAGTGATTACCTCTATTATTTTATAAACACACATATACACTACAGAGAGTATATAAGTACACATAATTAAATATATATGTAGAGTATTATAAATATAAGCATATACATAAATAAATATACACACATTCTCTGGAAAGTACTTGAACTAAATAATGATTAAAAGAGAACACTTCTGGATGAAGGACTGAGAATGGTAAAGAAAGCATATAAGGCTGGTAGTGCTTTTTCATCATAAGCTCTTCTATTATTTGATTTACCACATGCATGTATCACTAATTTTTTTTAATTTTAAATAATTTATTCACGATAATTCTCTGTAAAGTATCTGCAACATTTTCTTCAGTTTTCTTATGTGCACGTTTCCTTTTTCTCTTTTTGAGATGGAGTTTACCTCTTGTTGCCCAGGCTGGAATGCAATGGCATAATCTCGGCTCACTGAAAGCACTGCCTCCAGGGTTCAAGCAATTCTTCTGACTCAGCTTCTGGAGTAGCTGGGATTACAGGTGCCCACCACCACACCCAGCTAATTTTTTTTGTATTTTTAGTAGAGACAGGGTTTCACCATGTTGGCCAGGCTGGTCTTGAAATCTTAACCTCAGGTGATCTGCCCGTCTCAGCCCCCCCAAATGCTGGAATTAGACGCGTGAGACACCGTGCCCAGATGGAACGTGCATGTTTTCTAAAACTCAACAGTACGTCCGTAACGTACCTGTGGACAAGGATCATGGTTTCTAATTATCATTCCTAATACCTTGCAGTGGTTGGCAAAAACAATTTGCAGATCTGACATGAAACAATTCACTGAAAACAACTTGAATATAAGGCTATATATTATATTCGAACAGAAATTCTTAAATTTATGTTCAAAATCGATATAAAATTCACATAAGAAAATAATCACTTACCTTTAAGAGCTTCACAGTGCTTTTTAATTGCTACAGGAGTCAAATGCAGAAAATTGGGAATCTTAAATAGAGAAATTTAAAGAATAAATTACCTAAATGTCCTAAAAACATGAAAAATATAATTTTCTCATATTAAATCACAGGCCCAATAAACCATGTAGTAAATAAAATCTGGTTTTTTACAATATTGATTTTATCACAGATGTTGTCAATTCAAGAAATGAATTTAAAATATAGATTCAGTACCAAGTAATTTACAATGATACCTGGGTTTGTCTTCAGATGATATAAATCTTTTGTCTTTTACCAAACATCTTATAATGACAATCACAAGGAAAAACTAAACCTCATTTTGATAGTATTCTTCCTGCCACAAATCTACAGGTAGACATGTATATTTCCCTTATAAAACTGAAATGACTTAAGGACATGGATCATTGTTTATTTATTTATTTATTTATTTGAGACAGGGTCTTGCTCCGTCACCTAGGCTGGAGTTCAGTGGTATGATCTCGGCTCACTGCAACCTCTATCTCCCAGGCTTAAGCAATTCTCCTGCCTCCGCCTCCCAAGTAGCTGGGATTACAGGCGTGTCACCATGCCCGGCTAATTTCTGTATTTTTAGCAGAGATGGGGTTTCACCATGTTGCCGAGGCTGGTCTTGAACTCCTGGCCTCAGATGAGCCACCCACCTTGGCCTCCCAAAGAGCTGGGATTATAGGAGTGAGCCACTGTGCTCTGACAGGATAAGAATCACTGTTTAATCATCTCAATTCCCCTGGACTGCATAGCATGACAGTATTTCCACTTTGTACATAACCCACATTTTATAAACAAGTAAGTGAAGCTAGCAAATCTTAACTGGATAGTTTAATGAAGTTAGGAATATATTTATGATGATACATTAAAAGGCTACTGAATCATTCATAGTGTAAATGAAAATTCAGGAATGGTCAGAGATTTGATTCCTTCAAATAAATGATTAGCATTTATTAGGTCATTTCTTGAATAATGTTAAGTTTTTAAAAGAGAAAAATTAGCTTAAAGGCTCATTTGGAAAGAAAATTTAAATAAGCAGAAAGTTACTCCAAGAATTATGACAAGTATCTTGAGTGTTGATCAGAAAATATTTGTTTTTTTGTTTTTGAGACAGAGTCTCACTCTGTCGCAGTGGCGCAATATTGGCTCATGGCAACCTCCACCTTAATTCTCCTGCTTCAGCCTGCCAGGTAGCTGGGAGGCATGCACCACTACATCTGGCTAATTTTTTGGTAGTTGTAGTAGAGACAGTGTTTTGCCATGTTGGCCAGGCTGGTCTCAAACTCCTGACTTCAAGTGATCTTACTGCCTTGGCTTCCCAGAGTTCTGGGATTACAGTTGTGAGCCACTGTGCCTGGACAGAAAATATTGTTTTAATTAAGAGAAAATGGGCACTGAAAACTGCCCATTTGGGATTTGGGGATGGGTGGCCTCATTTACTTTACTTTTTGTTTTGGGTTTTTTTTCCTTTTTATACATTTTAAAAATTATAAACCCTAGTGTCAAGAGCCTACTTTTAACAGATCACAGTGATAGACTTTGATTTTTAAAACACGAACATACAAACCTCAAAAATCATAAAAGGAAAAATAGACAATTTGCATGGATTTACATAGGAACAGTTCTATGTACTTTGCATATACTAGCTCAGTTAATAAGCTTCTTCAATGACACCATCACTACAAATAGATGGCATGCATTAAATGTTTGGATTTTTATGTTTACTGAAATATGATTCACAACCATTAGTATTACTGCAAATATACTGCTACTCTCTCACTCAGTGATTCCCCAAAGACCTCTTTAAATAAAATTTGCTTCTTTTATTTAAAGAAAAGATCTGTTTTCCTTGATGTATGCTTTATTGAGTTTTCAAACATTCTCATTTCCAAATTTCATTTACCCCTGTTCTTCAGCACCAGCGTACCCTTTCTCCCTGGTCTTTGAAAAACAGTTGTTTTCCTTTATATAACTTTCTCATCTAATGGAAAACAGTTCATTTTCCTTTGTATAACTTTCATTGTATTTAAGAAGAAATCATCTAAGATATGCATTCTCAGACTAAGCATTTATATATTTTTTAAAACACCCATCATAAATCATTATACATGCTATCAAATGAAGCATTTACCTTGACCTATTTTGCTTCAAGCAATAAAGTTATATTTGGTAGACTGTAATAATAATACTAAATAATATTCTACCTTTCTGGACAGAAAAATTTAAATTCCTCCTTTTAAACTGGAAGTTTCACCTCCCAATTCTTAATCTCAAATTAGGTTATTACATTTTTCTTAATATTACTAAAAAGGTTCAATATAGAAAAAATATGATAGGCTGGGTGTGGTGGCTCACACCTGTAATTCTAGCACTTTGGGAGGCTGAGATGGGCAGATCTCTTGAGCCCAAGAGTTCGAGACCAGCTTGGGCAACACAGTGACCCGTCTCCAAAAGGAAAAAAGATACAAGAGGAAAGGGAAGCCACAAGATTGACTAATTTTTTTTTTTTTTTTTTTTTGAGACAGAGTCTCACTTTATCACCCAGGCTGGAGTGCAGTGGCACAATCTTGGCTTACTACAACCTCTGCCTCCCAGGTTCAAGCAATTCTCCTGTCTCAGCCTCCCAACTCCCAAGTAGCAGGGATTACAGGTGCCCACCACTACACCCAGCAAATTTTATGCATAATTTTGGTAGAGACAGGGTTTCACCATGTTGGCCAGGCTGGTCTTGAACTTCTGACGTCAAGTGACCTGCCCACCTCAGCCTCCCAAAGTGCTGGGATTACAGGTGTAAGCCACCTCACCCCACTGACTAATTACATTCTTAAATGCTTAGGATTCTTTTGAGTATTCTTTACCATCGATAATCAAAGTATAACACCTATTATTATCTGGTGTTGTATAATAAAATACCTATTATTTTCAAAAATTTAAATTAAAACACAGTAAGCTATATTCTGAACCTTAAAGCATAAGAGAGTAGGGAGGGGGAAAGATCAGCATTTATTTCTATGTAAGTTTTATCTTACCTTTAAAAGTTCTAGATTTCCCTCCTTTGCCATGGGCACGCCCTTTTTTACTGGATACCCCATTCGAACGGGAAGAGGTACTGCAGAGGGTTTAAATGGTGCTGCAACAGGGTAAACACTAGCCCAGTCCTGGTCAACAGCCATTTTCTCTGTCCTAGGAGGTAGTGCCTAAGAAATATAAAATCTTTTAGTATTTCAAATATAAACACATTCTTTAACTTTTAGAGAATTTTAATTTTAAAGCAAAAAGCTACAATTACAAGAAACAGAAGCAAAACTGCAACATATGTAAAATCTGACCTCCCACAAAACTGCTGCTATCCAAATTTAAAAAACACTAAATCTGCCTAAGTATCTCTGCACTGTTTCTTCAAACCCTTTGGCAAGGATCCCCTTTAACATCACATTCTCTTCATAAAAAATTTTTCTTTAACTAGACTTTTAGCAAAATTTGTACATTTTGCTTATGAAGGGATGAATTAATATATTTTGAAATAGTTTTTCAAACTTCTTTGATGGAAGTCAGTAGTACATGAGGGCATTAAGTACTCGGAAGTAAAGAGAAAAGGAAAAAAGAATAATTCGGGTTAAATTGATTGAATAAATACATATTGAGAAATTATATGTCTCCTAGACCCAGAGAAAAACTAGTACTTGATAGCTTAGTCAATCACATTCACATTTATTTTTAATGGAATCAAATACTAGGGGATTGCTAAACGCAAAAGTAGGGTTTATAGTAGCAAAATTCAGCCATGCCCCATCTACGCAGTATCAAAACCAGTGTAGTCGACATCCTAGAAGCAGGTAATACTCCTGAGGAAATGTCTGCTCTTGATGATTGCAATTTGACACCATTTAACTTCCAACTAATGTGTCTTTGTTCTGATGCTATGCTCACCAACTGACCTTGCAGTTTAGATTCCTCCATAGAAGGAAGGAATCCAAATGTCCACAGGGTGAGACTAAATTAGTTAAGACTATGGCCAGGTGCAGTGGCTCACGCCTATAGTCCCAGCACTTTGGGAGGCCTGAGGCGGGTGGATCACCTGAGGTCAGGAATTTGAGACCAGCCTGACCAACATGGTGAAACTACCCCCTTTCCTAAAAATATAAAAAAATTAGTCGGGTCTGGTGGCATGTGCCTGTAGTCCCAGCTACTCGGGAAGGTGAGGTAGGAGAATCACTTTGAACCCAGGAGGCAGAAGTAGCAGTGAGGCAAGATTATGCCATTGTACTCTAGCCTAGCAACAAGAGTGAAACTCTGTCTCAAAAAAATAATAAATAAATAAACAAAACAGTTATATTAATGCATAAATCCCTGGCTGCAGGACTTAAGACAGCATTAGAAATTGTTCCATATTCTTGTTTATATACCTGTTTCCTAGGAGTTCCTCAGTAAGTCAACCTCTCAAAGATGATCCAGTCTCTGGGTACTGAAGAAGAACAAAGACTAACCTCTGCCAGGGCTATGGCAACACCCAGTAAACATGACCTTGTGAAGTCTTCTCTGCCAATACCTTTCTGCCATGAATACCTGCCTTATTTTAGAACTCCAGAAACCATTAAGATAGTAGAGTATATGAACTTTTTACCTTTCTTTTTAGCGGCTTTTCACCTCTGGATGTTCTTTCTGTTGTACATAAAAGATAATAAACAGAATTTTATGTCAAGTTAGTTAACATCAATCATGATCACATTACTCCAACACAATTTAAGGTATTCAGTAACATAACAATGAAACAACCCTTTTTTGGGGGTAAGCTCAGGGACCAAAATCATCTTAATGAAGACAAAAAACCAGAAACAGAGAGTCTTGCTGTGTTGCCCAGGTTGGAGTGCAGTGGTGTGATCTCGGCTCACTGCAACCTGTGCCTCCCGGATTCAAGTGATTCTCCTGCCTCAGCCTCCTGAGTACTTGGGACCACAGGTGCATCCCACCATGCCTTGCTAATTTTTGTATTTTTAGTAGAGATGGAGTTTCACCATGTTGGCCAGGCTGGTCTCGAACTCCTGACCTCAATTATCCGCCTACACAGGTGACCCAAAGTGCTGGGATGACAGGTGTGAGCCAAGGTGCCCGGACCCAGTAAGAAAAATTCTATAGTTATTTGAATATAATTGCTGATACAGTAAGCTCATCATCTAAAAAATGACTCTTAAGGAATCTGTCAAATAAGACAACTTTTAACAAATAATTTCAATAAACAGTAATAAATATTATGAATACACATAGCAGGGAACTAAATCTAGTCAATTAGCTAGTGTGATGGTAAATTTTTTTCTTTTTTTTGAAACAAGGTCATCTCACTCTCGCCCAGGCTGGAGTGTAGTGGCGCAATCTTGGCTCACTGCAGCCTCAAACTACCAGGTTCAAGCCAATCCTTCCACTTCAGCACCCCAAGTAGCTAGGACTAAAGGCATAAGCATACCAGGCTAATTATTAGAGACAAGCATTTCACCATGTTGCCCACGCTGGGCAACATGTTGCCCATTTCACCATGTTGCTCAAGCTCTTAAGCTCAAGCAATCTACCCACCTTGGCCTCCCAAAGGGCTGGGATTGCAGGTGTGAGTCACCGTGTCCAGCCGTGATGGTTAACTTCAGGTGTCAATCTGACTAGATTGAGGGATACATAGATACCTGGTAAAGCATTATTTCTGGGCATGTCTGTGGAGATGTTTCCAGAGGAGATAGGCATGTGGGTCAGTGGGTTGAGTGAGGAATACCTGCTTTCAATGTAGGTAGGCATCATCCAATCAGCTGAGGGCACAGAGAAAATAAAAAGGCAGATAAAAGAAGAACATATTCTCTCTCTCTTCTGGACCTGGGACACTCTTCCCCTGCCCTTAGACATCAGAATTCCAGGTGCTCCAGCCTTTGGACTCCAGGACTTGTACAAGCAGCCCTCTGAGTTCTTAGGCCTTCAGCCTTGGTCTGAAAATTACATGGCTTCCCTGGTTCTGAGGCTTTCAGAATTGAACCGACATGGGCTTCCAGCTTGCAGACAACCTATTGAGGGTGAGTCAATTCCCCTAAAAAACCCCTGTCATATATCTATATATCTACATCTACATCTGTGCTATCCTACATCCACATTCTGTCTCTCTGGAAAACCCTGACTAATACAGTTGGGGAAAATCTCCTTAAGAAAGTGAACTTTAAGCTAAAACCTGAAAGATGAGCAGAACGCAGCCATGAAGACAGGCGGGTGAGAAGAAGTGTTTCGCCAGAGCAAGAGCACATGGAAAAATCAAAGTGAACAAATTCAATATGGCTGAAATTTAAGACAAGGACAGAGAAACAGAGAAAGGAGGCCAAAGACCCTTAACAGGTTTCTTAACTATAATGCATCCTTGGCAGAGCTTTTTTTCTTTTTTTGAGGCAGGGTCTCACTCCTGTCACCCAGGACAGAGGGCAGCGGTGCGATCACGGCTCACTGCAGTCTCGACTTCCCACACTCAGGTGATTCTCCCACTTCAGCCTCTGGAGTAGGTGGGACTATAGGCATGCACCACCACACCTGGCTAATTTCTTGTATTTTCAATAGAGACAAGGTTTGGCCATGTTGCCCAGGCTGGTCTCAAACTCCTGGGGCTCAAGGGATCCACAGGCCTCTACCTCCCACAGTGCTGAGATTATAGGAATGAGCCACCATGCCCAGCCTCTTGGCAGAGCTTTTGATTTTCTTCTTCCAGTCTTTCCAGCTCATATAAATGGAATCATCATTAATCCAACTGCTCAGGACAAAAACGTAACAGGATTTTTAAAGACGTCCTCAAGCCTCACATCAAATCCATCAGTAAATCCTATAAACTCTATCTTTAAGATATATTGCAAATACAACTACACCCTCTTCTCCACTTTTACTCTAATCCAAGTCACCATCATCTCATTTTTACTGCTGCAACGGCCTCCAAACAGGTCTTTGGCTTCCACTTTTACCCTACTAAAGCAGCCAGTGATCCTTTAAAAATGCAAATCACATTATATATGTTCCCTGTTCAAAGACTTCCTACATAAAACCCAAGCCAAAAATCCAAATGAAATGTCTACAAACTCTTGAGAGAACAGATCATTACTTAACTAACTCTTTGACGTCTTCCACTACCACTCCACTCTCTCCTCTACTCACACTTAGCTCCTGTCACATTGGCTTTCTTTCCGTTCCTTGAACACACCCCTCAGCTTGTTCTCAACTTTTGGCCTTTGCACTTACAGTTCTCTATATCCCAAAGGCTCTTTCCCCAGATCTCTGCACAGCTTGGGGGCTCTGTTCAAAAGTCACTTTCTCAGACACATATTTCCTATCTACCCTATGGCCAGTACTCCCCCACCAATCCATCATTCTCAATACTCTGCTTTATTTTTCTTCATCACTTAAACCCTATCTGACATCTTATTTAGTTGTTTGATTGTTTATACTCTGACTTCTCCACCTTGCTGTATACCCAGTGAGGGTCTAGAACACTGCATAGTATACAATAGGAGTTAAGTCTTCCTAGAAAGAAAGAATGAAAAATTAAAAATAGACAAGTATTAGAACTTTGAAGAGCCAGTATGAAGCATTAATGAATTTATACTTCATCTGAAAAGCAATGGAAACCATTTGTGGATCTTGAACACGGGAGCAGCAAGACAAGATCTAAAGTTTGAAAACCTCATTTGACTGCTGTGATAATTCAATGTAGGAGAGCAAGAGGGGAAACAGCAAACGGAAAAGAAACTTGAAGAAATGAGATGGTCACCTGGACTGGGTTGTTGGTAATATGAGGAGAGTAAATTAGAGATATAACAAGGAGCAGCACAGGCAGGATCCGCTGATTGATGAGACTCACACCAGCTCCTCCTCAATGCTCCGGTCACTCTAGCCACACTTTTATCACAGCACCTCTCAATACACAGCACTTCTCCGTTAATAAATCTGTATTTTCCGTGGCGCTGCTGCGCCTGCCGCGAGTACCCCCCGCCCCCGCTCTACGGGGCGCTTTTCCTTCCACCGGGGCCGCTTTTCCTTCCGCCAGGACCTCATGGAACGCCTGGAGGGCAGCGGACCGGAACCGCGGGGCCCCGAGGGACGGCCGGCGCCCGAAGCCAGGGTGCACTTCCGAGTGGCGAGGTTCATCATGGAGGCAGGTGTCAAGCTGGGGATGCGGTCCATTCCCATTGCCACTGCTTGCACCATTTACCGTAAGTTCTTCTGCGAGACCAACCTGGACGCCTATGACCCTTACTTGATCGCCATGTCTTCCATTTACTTGGCTGGCAAAGTGGAAGAGCAGCATCTGAGGATTCGTTATATCATCTATGTGTCCAACAGGTACTTTAACCCAAGCGGTGAGCCCCCGGAGTTGGACTCCCGCTTCTGGGAGCTCCAAGACAGCATTGTGCAGTGCGAGCTTCTCATGCTGAGAGTTCTGCGCTTCCAGGTCTCCTTCCAGCACCCACACAAGTACCTGCTCCACTACCTGGTTTCCCTCAAGAACTGGCTGAACCGCCTCAGCTGGCAGCGGACTCCTTTCGCCGTCACTGCCTGGGCCCTGCTGCAGGACAGCTACCACGGGGGGCTGTGCCTCCGCTTCCAGGCCCAGCACATAGCCGTGGCAGTGCTCTACCTGACCCTGCAGGTCTATGGAGTCAAGGTACCTGCTGAGGTCGAGGCTGAGAAGCCGTGGTGGCAGGTATTTAGTGAGGATCTTACCAAGCCAATCATTGATAGTATTTTGTCTGATCTCATTCAGATTTATACCATGGACACAGAGATCCCCTAAGGCCCTGGCCCAGGCCCGCCCAAAGAGAAGCCCAGGATGTTCAGCTGCCTGGGGACACTGCCACCACGTCGCCATCATGGCTGGTCCCCAGAGGACCAGGTGGGAGGACTGGTTGTGCTGCGGGAGAAGGGCTGGTGAAGGCGATGACATGCTGCCACTTTGACAGTACCTAGCATTCGCGGTCCAGATGATGATGGGAGCCGCGCCTCCAGCGGGCAGGCCAGGAGTGCAGTATGTGCAGCTGACCCAAGGCAGCCACATCTGCTTTTGTCCTTTGAGAGGACTCTGACTACAATAGAGGCATGACGTCAATTAAAGGAAAATCATGAAATAGATGAGACTGAATCCCTAGGGATTTTTTTAAAAACCAGATTTAGGCCGGGCGCGGTGGCTCAAGCCTGTAATCTCAGCACTTTGGGAGGCCGAGGCAGGTGGATCACAAGGTCAAGAGATCGAGACTGTCCTGGTCAACATGGTGAAACCCCGTCTCTACTAAAAATACAAAAAATTAGCTGGGCATGGTGGCGCATGCCTGTAATCCCAGCTACCCAGGAGGCTGAGGCAGGAGAATTGCCTGAACGCAGGAGGCGGAGGTTGCGGTGAGCCGAGATCGCGCCATTGCACTCCAGCCTGGGTAACAAGAGCGAAACTCCGTCTCAAAAAAAAAAAAAAAAAAAAAAACCAGATTTATAGCAAGAATGAATGTGCAACATGGATGAAATTTATTTTGTGTAATAAAATGTGATACTAATCAACAGAAAAAAATAAAAAAATAAATCTGTATTTTCCACTAGACTCCTCCGGGGTAAGCACGGTATCAAGCATCCCTATAATCTCTGTCAAATGGAAGTCACCAACGCCTGTTCAATGAAGGCCACCCATTTGGTGGACTGGAATTGAGGGCAGCAATTTATCCTAGCACTGCCGTATGCCTCTCTTAATGTTTGGGGAAATCCACGGTTCAACACTGCTGATGATCAATAAACAATACAGAACACCAGTTACCTGTGCCAGCGGCTATGAGCGGCACCACAGGAGCAGGTTACGGGAAAGGGGGATGTAAGCTTTCTGAGCAAACGCCCAGAGCGGAAACTTGCCGCTAGGAGCCGGGCAACGCAGGCACGTCCACGGCTCTCCTACCAGGCGGGCCTGGCAGCGGATGCACCGCCTCTCCCAGGCCGCACTGGCTTAGCCACCGCGGCAGCCTTCACAGGGCCGGTATTCCGCCCTTGCACCTCCCCCAAAGCCCGGAGGCTACGAGACAAACACTCACGCAGGCCAGGTCTCCGGACCCGAGTGGCCGGGTACACGGCGGTGGAGAATGCACGCAGAGTCCTTGCTCTCGACTGCAGAGCCACCCATGCCGGCAGGACGGCGGCCGCCATAGCTGCGAGGACGGCAAGCCGGAGGGGACACGCGCAGTTCAGCGTCAGGGGCGGGCCCTAAACGCAGGCTCGCTGGGCTGGCACCGCCCTAGGCTGGAGAAACAGGAAACACGTGGTTCTCCGCATTCAGGGCAGAGTCAAATATCAGAAAGATACCCCCGAACAGAAAGAAGTAATGAAAAGAAAACAAAAAATTCCTTATCAGTCGAGTCAATCAGTTCATACAGAATTGCAGATAAGGACCATAGAGATGAGGGAAATATGGCTCACTAAAGGCAGGCGTGGTCTGGGTGGAACCTCAGATGATCCAAGAGTCAGGCAGTCTACCCGAGGGACTCCTTGTTCTTTGTAATTGTTGCTTGTCTACATTTACTTGGATTAAAGAAATCATCAATTAATGCAAGTGATACGCGCTAAGGGGAGAGAAGCAGTATACCGAGCCAGGCTGCTTGAATTTCAAACTTGACGTCACCATTTCTGGAATGTGCGATCTTAGGCAAGTTAGTATAGTCAAATGTTTATGAACAGCATTGGCATACAGTGAACACCGCATGTGCATAGCCTATAACTTTTAGCTATATACAGTTAGCTTGTTGTTAGACCAAGTTAGAATTACGAAAGTTAGAACTCATCAGGCTTAGAAAATAAACCCTTAATGAACACTCTTATTTTCTTATTTATTTATTATTTTTTAAGACGGAGTCTTGCTCTTGTCTCCCAGGGTGGAGTGCAGTGGCGCAATTTCAGCTCACTGCAACCTCCGTCTCCTGGATTCAAGCAATTCTCCTGCCTCAGCCTCTTGAGTAGCTGGGATTACAGGCACGCAACACCATGCCCTACTAATGTTTGTATTTTTAGTACAGATGGGGTTTCACTATGTTGGCCAGACTGGTCTTGAACTCCTGACCTCGAGTGATTCACCCACCTAGGCCTCCCAGAGTGCTGGGATTACAGGTGTGAGCCACCGTGCTTGGAGGAACATTTATTTTCTATGGTAGGATGGATGAACATGCAAGCCTTAGTAAAAATATTCTCTATTTTCTCATTATTTTGTAAATGTTTTATTTATTTTAATTATTATTATTATTGTTGAGACAGAGTCTTGCTCTGTTGCAGGGCTGGAGTGTGGTGCCACCACCATGGCTCACTGCAGACTTGACTTCCCAGGTTGAAGTGATCCTCCTACCTCAGCCTCTCAAGTAGCTGAGACTACAGGCATGCACCACCACATCCAGCTAATTTAAAAAAAAAAAAAAAATTATAGAAGTAAGATCTCACTGTGTTGTCAGGGCTGGTCTCAAACTCCTGGGCTCAAACAATCATCCTGCCTTGGCCTCCCAAAGTGATTGGACTACAGGTGTGAGCTACCACACCTGGACTATTTTTTCTATTTGCAAATTTTCTGTAGAGTTGGGGGGTCTCACTATGTTGCCCAGGCTGGTCTCAAACTCTTGGCCTCATGTGATCCTCCTGCCTTGGCCTCCTCAAGTGTCAGGATTACAGGCATGGATCTGTCCTGTTTTTCTGTTTTGTCTCAAAGTGACAAAATTATAACAGTAAAAACAACGAGGAAGAAACAAAACTGACTCTTGGTAAGCATGCAACCAGTAGAGCAGAGGTATACAGGTGTCCAAGAATATTCTATGGGCTTCCTGGGGAAAACTTTTTTCAGCTGAACCTCTCTCCATTTAAACACTCAGAAGATAAGGTGTGAATGTACATATTATCTTATTCGAGTCCTAAAGTATTTTTATAAGTTACTGTTTTTCACCCACACTTTCATGGGAGAGAAAATCATTGCAAAATCAGGATACATGTTTTTGTTCTGTGCAATGAAATTCACTAAAACATTAAAAAAAAAAAAAAAAGCCATACACAGGCATTCAGTGTGCCATGGACGTCAATCAGTAAAGTAGGGGAGGGAGATAAATAGCATGAGATGGACAAGTATTTGGAACAATCATCGTTTTCATCTTTTCTGGACTTTTATCGTCCTGTTATCGTTCCAAAATAGAAGCACAGTGTATGAGTTCCCTAGGGGATTGGAACAAAGTACCGTAGACTGGATGACTTAAAACAACAGAAATTTACTCTCTCACAATCCTAGAGTCTCGAAAGTCCAAACTCCAAGTGTCAGCAGAGTTGGTTCCTTCCGGAAGTTCTGAGGGAGAATCTGTTTCATGCATCTCTCCTAGGTTCTAATGGTTGCTGGCACTCCTTGGCATTCCTTGGCTGGTAGACACATCACACCACCTTCTGACCTCATATTCCAATGCTGTTCTCTCCTCTCTTCAAACTATTTTTTTTTCTTTTTTTCTTTTTTCTTTTTTTTTGAGACGGAGTTTCGCTCTTGTTACCCAGGCTGGAGTGCAATGGCGCGATCTCGGCTCACTGCAACCTCCGCCTCCTGGGCTCAGGCAATTCTCCTGCCTCAACCTCCTGAGTAGCTGGGATTACAGGCACGCGCCACCACGCCCAGCTAGTTTTTTGTATTTTTAGTAGAGACGGGGTTTCACCATGTTGACCAGGATGGTCTCAATCTCTTGACCTCGTGATCCACCCGCCTCGGCCTCCCAAAGTGCTGAGATTACAGGCTTGAGCCACCGCGCCCAGCCACCAAACTATTTTTAAGATCAAAAGCATGGTCTTTTTAATCAGATGGATGTGGGGTTTGATCCAGGATCTCCTTCGTCATGATTTTGGACAAATCTACCTAACCTCTCTGAGTTTCAGGTTCAAGGAAAATGGGAGCAATAATATTTTTCTTAGGACATTGGTGTTTAAAGACATAAATATAAATGGTGGGCATTGGCATTAAACTCAGGGTCAATGCAACAGCCTCTTGTTCTTGCAAGTTTAGATATTTTAATCAAGTGCAAGTTCTATACCATAGAAATTTAGGGACAAAAGGAGTACGATCATATTCATACTGTAATCAGCGGCAAATCTGTGAGTCTGTGGCAACCTCAATTCTTGCCTGCTCAGAAGAAAGAATTTGATTGAGGAGCATAAGGCAGAAAGAGAGACCGAAGCAAGTTTTAGAACAGGAGTGAAAGTTTATTCAAAAACTTTGCAGCAGGAACAAAAGGAAGGAAAGCACACTTGGTGGTAAAGTGGCAGGCTGGACCCCGCAATCGCTCACTCATGTGCTCCCTCCCCCAAGGGGCTGAGTGTGGTGAGCCTAGTAGACAGAGCGCCCCTCCTGAGAGTCCAGCAAAGGAGCCAAGAAAAATCCTGCTTCACTGCTTAAGATACATGGGCCCTAATCCTGGTTAAATATTAGAGTAACTTAGGAGATTTTTAAAATTATTATTATCTAGACTCCTTCTGAGATGCTGATTAATTGGTCTAGATGTGTTTGGACCACTAGGATTTTGTTTATTTTTTGTTTAAGTTCTTCAAGTGAATCTAATATTCAGGCAAGATGGAGAACCACTGGTGTCAGCTTTAACAAGGATGAACTGGATATAAATCTCTTAGCATAGAAAATTCTCCACAATATATTGTTAATTTTTTAAAATGCAGGTTATAAAGCATTTATGGATTGCATAATCTCATTTGTGCATTATATTTTTTATTTTTTATTTTATTTTATTTTGCAATACAAATTCTGGAAGGGTCAACAGCAGATTTGAGGCAGTGGGTATGAGGATGGAGGAGACACTCCTGAAGACTTCACTTTCTCCACTTCTGTACTTGAATTTTTATACCAAGCATATAGCTTTAAAAAAATTAAATGAGAATGCAGTGTTTTTAAAATCAACAAAAGCTTCACATTTTAATTTTCACCTGGAAAAAAAAACATGGTGACTCTGATTTGTGGCTTTCAGCTGTTTATAACATGAATACTTAGAATTTGTACTAGGGTCTCTGAAATTTTGGTTAGCTTACACTTTAGTATAGAAAATATTTTCACAAACTTTGTGTCCTTTGAGTTACAGTCATGTGCCACTTAAAGATGTTTTAGTCAACCACTGTGCATATATGATGGTGGTCTCATAAGACTATAAAGGAGCTGAAACATTCTTATTGCCTAGTGACACTGTGGCTATTGTACTATCATAGCACAATTACTTTATTCTTTTATAAATTTAGTGCAGCTAAAGTTATAAAGTGAATAGCGTTTGTAAAGTCTACGGTAGCATCCAGTAATGTCCTAGACCTTTGCATGGACTCACCACTCACCAACTCACCTACAGCAACTTCCAATCCTGCAAGCTCCATTCATTGTAAGTGCCCCATATAGGTGTACCTTTTTTTTTTTTTTTTTTTTTTTTTTTTTACCTTTTATACCTTCTTTTTACTGTATCTTTTTTGTGTTTAGATATGTTCAGATACACAAATATTTACCATTGTGTTCCAGTTGCCTATAGTATTGGCAAAGTAACATGCTGTACAGGCTTGTAACCTAGGAGCTATGCCTAGGTGTATAGTAGGCTGTACTGTCTAGGTCTGTGTAAGTACACTTTATTACATTCCCAAAACAATGAAATTGCCTAACAATGCATTTCTCAGTACATATCCCCATTAAGCAATGCATGATGTAGTTGAAGTAATTCCCATTTTACAAATAAGGAAACAAAGAGTTAAGCCACTTGACTCTGCTCTTATGAGCATTGAAACTCAAATCCACATCTGATTCCAAGTTGCATGTTCTTCACGTCACCTCCGTCTTGATGGTGTATTCCACACAGCATTCCTGCCGACAGGGGTCACTATACACCAAGGAACCATTAAGTGACTGAGTACTATAACCTAACCTCCCAGAAGCATTCAAGGTGGGAATAGTTATTGCTTAACAACTTTAAAACATGCCACCTGGGCCTATTCATGACCAGTTTACTGAAGGCAAAGGGCTAAAATGTTTTTTAAATTAAAAAATTGTATTTTATTAGAAGCATTCAGAATGTCAACAAAACAGCTGCAACTTTTTTTTTCAATTACAGAATGGTATTCAGCTAGCAGAACAACAATTATTTTGTATAAGCTGCATCAGAGAAAAATGAAGATGAAAAA